CTATATATAGGCTACGACAGAAACCCTAAGGAGAAATAAGGGTCGGACTTCCAATGGATCTATGATTTCTATGTTCAAACATCCTATAGTCGATTAATAATAAGTTAGTCCACTAAAAACTTATTATTGATCTCTTGAGTCTTATCTCAATATAATGTTTCGAGCTCCTTATTATTATATACTTAATAATCTCTCCACATTTAAGATTAGAGATGTCTATTAATTAAATAAATTATTGATAATTATATTTAATTGACTTTTTTTATTCATTGAGACTTTACCACTTAACTTATTTGTCATGTCAAATAATTAAAACCGTCTGTAGGGTTTGATATAGACAAAATTTATGAGCTTCCTTAAGAGGATATCATCAACTCATTTAAATACTAGGATGTGATTTTTTTTAATAATAATTTTTTACTATACAAATAATATCATCTCCCAATTCACTGAAATTATTGACTCAATATGAATATCACTTTTTGATGGATCAAAGTAACAATCATTATACGCACGTGATGATTAAATATATCGGGATTAAGAGTATAAGCAATCATAATAGTTATGAGGTATTTATTATCTTATTCAATCAGTAAAAAATAATAACTTCACCATAGGTCTGTTCAATACATAAAGTGTACTAGTGCAATAATCTGAAACATCAAACAATCTCTTATAGTCAAGATAGACTATGTCATAATGTTACACTACAATCATGCTGATGGTCTGTCCAATTCTATCTAGGATTTTGAACATTTATATAATAAAATAGAAGTGTGTTTGAATTTTATCCCAGTCATATTTTTCTCCTCAAAAACTATCATCAATCACTTACCTCACCCATCATCTTTTTGTCAGACTCAAACGTCAAATCACATCACTCATTTCTATCACATATTTAATCATTTATATATTTTCTCCCTAAAAATATCACACCACTCATTTCTATCATATATTTAATTATTTATTATTTAATTAATTTTCAGTTAATATATTTTGAAAAAATTTAATATAGTGGGATCTATTTTTTGGATGCTCAAATTTTATATTTTATCGTGTCTTCAGGCACGAGTTATGACAAGAATATTCATATTATACAATGATATGATAGTTTAGTCTTTTGTGTATAAGCTGAGCTCTACATACTAGATTATCTATAATATAAAATATAAAACACACATGCATATCATATATCGAATAAAATGTAAACATTTTGCCTACAAAAAAATAAACTCCTATTAATTAATAAAACAAGATTCACAAAAAAAAAGTAAGCTTTTAGTATATAACTCCATCAAATTCTTCATTAAGGAATGTGATTGAACAATATTTTAGAATATTAAAGAAAATATTTTCAATTTTACAATAAATGCATAGTTTTGATTTCACTAAACAAATGTTTATTGTTTTTGCTTGCATGACTTCCCACAATTACATAAGGCTCCATGGCATCAAAGACGTATTATTTGAAAAGTATGCCAATGAAGACGTGAAATTAGAGGTGGAAGGCAATGTAAACCAAATTGCTTTAGAAGACGATATTGATTGGTCAGATACAAATTAATCCAATGTACAGGAAGAGAGAACGTATTGCTTCAACAATTCTAAAGGACAATCAATCATGATTTTCGATTGTATTTACTATTAACATGTGTTTTGCGACTTTAGTATGTCATTGGGATAGTTAAATTATGTAGCTTTTTTGTATGATACCTTTATTAATATGATATTTTTGTGTATGATATTTTTTGTGTATCATTGTTTATGTAGTGTATGTTTGTATATATGCATTCAATACTATTAACAATTGTGACACAAATAAGTATTTTTCTATTTAAACGTAATTTTTATAAAATACATTAATTTAAGCATTTTAAATGTTGAATATCCAAATAATAATTATTTAATGAAAGTGCTTTTCTTATAAAAACTTTTGATAAAAAAGTTATTAAAAAAGTAATATTTGGATTTCATAAGCCATCCCAAACACACTCTAAATGACTCAAATATTGCGTCAACTTTATGTACCTGTAAAAAAAATAATCTATATAATAAATTACAATACAATTCAAATATCAAAAGATAAATAAAATAATTTTTACTTTTCGCGTTTGAGATCTCTTTAAATTTTTTTTAAAGTTAATCCGATGACTAATATTAACACCCCAAATTTTATAGGAAAAATAGGCCTCTAAATGTGTATTTGCGTGAGTTTTTAAAAGTGTTTCTAAAACTTATAACTTCTCATGAGTACTTTTTTAAAAAATAAGTAGTGTTTAGAACCACCCCACCACCACCGCCATCGCTGCCACCCCATCACCACCTCTTTCATATTAACCACCATCATCGCCACCGCCGCCACTGCTATCAACACCCCACCACCACCGTCGTTACCCTACCACCACCTCAACTACAATAATCGTCACTACCCCACCACCACCACTGTCGTCGCCACCCCTACTACCACCATTGCCCTACCATCAATGCCACCCCACTAGCACCACCACCACCACCATTGCCACCACCCCACCACCGCCACCATTGCCGCCACCCCCACTGCCCCACCACCACTAGTATCGCCACCCACCACCGATTTCTACCATCGTTGTCCATCGCCACCACCCACCATAATTACCATGTCATTATTATATTTACTATTGTTACCACCATAATCCCACTACTACCATTTTCCATTGTCAGCACCCACAATTATCATTGTTGCCCATCACCACCCGCCATCACCCACTACCATAATCCACCACCACCCGTTGTCATCCACTACCGCCGCTAGCCACTGTCACCTACTCCCACCACCCTTCATTGCCCGCCACTGCCACCACTCACTGTCACCCATAACCACCACCACCATCACCACCATTGCCATTTGTCACCATTAATCACACTATCACCCAAATGTACTCGTCATCGCCCACCACCACCAACGTCACCGCCCACCACAACAACCCACCGCCGCCACCACCACCGTCGTTGCCCCACCATCACCACTGCCAACCATTATCACCAGTGCGCACTACCGTCACTCACGGTTGCCACTACTACCATCGTCACCCAAAATCCATCATCATTATCACCGTTGCCATCTATGGCTATCACCATCACCACAATCGTTGTAACCCACCACAACCATCATCATCTCCTACCACAACCATTACCCTCTCTCACCACCACTACCACCGCTCACCAGCACTATGATTGATACTTAAATGTCTTTCTCTCTCCTCTATGTTTGTGATTGATTTTGGGTGTGAATATAAGAATATGTTTAGTGTTGATCTTTTTTTTATTGTTTCGTACTTTTAGACACGGATAATTACTATTATTTTAATAAAATTCAGGAGCCACATCAGCTTAGCAAAAACAACTAACCTTGATAAGGTAGGAATTAAGCATTTCTTGTAAACAACGGAATTTGATGTGAAGGTCAATGTGTTCTCTTGTTTGTTACAGTGGTTGTTAGCCCTTCAAAAGCAAAAGTTCAACCAAAATCTGCGTTGAACAACTTTGAGTTTTTCAGAAGTCAACGGATGGCGTTAAGTGGTTTGCATTTTTGACAATATGGTACGTCCAATACGGCTTTTGAATATTTTAAATTGTTTTGACTTTTAAGCACTTTGTCAAAATCCTTCAGCAAGCTAATGTATATTGAGAACCATTCTGAGCAATTTATCCAAATAATTGTTCGATACATATCTTGAAAGTATGAAAAATTTGTAATTGACGAAATAAATGCAACTATTCTCTGCATTTTGTATAAGGAAGCAGTCCATATCGGCTGAATCAAGCCAACCAATGTTTCTATTTTCTTCGATCTCAAATTACTTCCCATCCAAAATTTAGTAACACGTGGTATAACAAATTACAAGTCAAAAATCAACTGAACCAAATATAGTTAGTAATTTATAATCTCTCAAGATTAAGATGAGGATTACACACCAAAAATTATTGGAAAATAATTTTGTTAGTCATTTTATATTTTCTTAAGATTCTTAATCCTTGTCAAAGGCAAGTGTTTTTGCACCGGCTCGTGATATACGTATATAGTCTTTATTATAATAGTTGATAAATCATTGTAATAATGCTATTCAAGACATAAAAGAGAGTATTGGAGAATTTGATATGTTGAAATTGCCGCCCATACCACATTTTGTGTGTAACTTTTTTTTTTTTTTGCATCAACTTAAGGAAAAGAACAAGGGGTGGGTTTGTGAAGGGTTAATAGCATTTTTAATCCTTGAAATATATTTTTTTTTGTTAATTTAGTTCTCACTATATCAATTTTGTCAATTTGGTCATAAAGTATTCAATCTGTATCACTTTAGTCTTTAATTAAATAATTCGCCAATTTTTTTAACGGAAGTGACAACGTGTCATTTTTATAAATGGTATCACATGCCCAACATGTAATTATTCTATCAAAAATTTAACAATTCGTCTATGTAGGGACCAAAATGACATGCATTGAATATTTTAGATATCAAATTGACAAAATTGATATAACGAATACTAAACTGACAAAAAATATATATACTTTAAGGACAAAAATTACTATTAACCATAATAAATAAGTCCATTTACTTATATGGTAGCCGTAGTCTACTCACTTTTATTTTAACTGTAATATGTATACACATATATTGACTGCAAACACTAGTCCTTACATGGATTACCCTAATGAATAACTATTTGACATCATCTATTTGAGAAATATGATTTAAGTTAAAAATCGATACTTGTTAAAAAAGAGCCAGCCAAAGGAGAACAAGTCAGGCTGCCACATTGAAGAATAGTACAGCGGTATAGCACAAAAAGAGTGACCTAAAACCTAACGCGCATGCTTCACTGCCCTATAAATTGAGTTCCATGCGCTAAGATTTCTCAAACATCCTCAACTTCTTTTACCGCTAGTGTTGAGCTCGTAAAGCTGCTAGTTTCTTCATACACAACATTTCTCCTACACTAGATCACAACAGCTATTAACCATGAGTTTCCGAGTGAATTCTAGCAATTCTTTTGCGGCCATTGCGGCTATTCTTTTTCTGCTCTTGCTCTCTAACAAACCATGCGAAGCCCAGTTATCTTCGACATTCTACGATAGTACCTGTCCAAATGCACTTAGTAGAATCCGAATTTCTATTAGAACTGCAGTGTCACGTGAACGTCGCATGGCAGCATCGCTGATTCGTCTCCATTTCCATGACTGCTTTGTTCAGGTTTTAATTTGTTTTTTTTTTTGTTCAAATTTTAATAATGCGATCGGTTTCTGTCGTTAACATGACATTTTTAGTTCTGGTATGGTTGATTTTTTATGGACATTGAACATAGAGAAATTTAATGTAGTGTTCTGGTTTTGCAGGGTTGTGATGCATCAATCTTGCTTGATGATACTCCTTCTATAACAAGCGAGAAGAATGCAAGGCCTAATAATGGTTCAGTGAGAGGTTATGAAGTCATTGATGCCGCCAAGTCTGAGGTCGAGAAAATATGTCCTGGTGTTGTTTCTTGTGCAGACATACTCGCAGTCGCAGCTCGGGATGCATCAGCCCTTGTGAGTATATGTGGCTTTCCCTAAAGATCATTAATAAACTAATCATTCTCGTCAATAAATAAAAATAAAAAAGAGGCACATAATCATCGTTTATCATATACATCGGTTAAACTGAAATTTTAGGTGGTCAATGAGAGTCTAAACGTAATTTAATACATAAATCTACACGTACTTGTTCGATAAATTTAGAACCAAAAGGTCATTGCTGATGTGGGATTTCTTAATAATCAGGTGGGTGGTCCATCATGGACAATGAAGCTTGGGAGGAGAGACTCTACCACTGCAAGCCGAAGTCTAGCAGAAAGCAATCTCCCTGGTTTTAGAGATAGTCTTGAGATACTAATTTCCAACTTCGCCAATCAAGGGCTTAATGCTAGGGACATGGTTGCTTTGTCAGGTAACAATGAGCACTATTGGTATTCCATTCCACTCAACACCCCCCCCCCCCCTCCCCCCCCCAGCCACCAACAAAAAAAAAAAAAAAAA